TCCAGAAAATATGAAGGCCTTCAGAGCCAATTCCGTCTCATAAAAGGAGGTCAAAGACATCTGAGTCTCCCTCAGTAGTTAATTTGACAGACTTCGGAAGAGAAATTATAAGAATATTTTTCAGTGTCACTTGAAAAGACATTTTAATGACTGCACAATTTATCTTTACAGCTGTGCTGTGTTGATTGTCCTGAAGAAGGAGGCTTGTCACCTTATGTATTTGCTTTAATGGTTATCTTCTTTCTGCAACAGAGGAAAGAGCCATTTCTACCTGTTTATTTGGGATCATGGGTATGTGTATTAATACGCTGAACATTATGAACAAGAGGATGGTCCTTCACTTGTGGCGCTTCTTGCTCCACTGAGCGAGCTATAAGCCAGTCGTTTATGCTTGGATTTGGAAAGAATGTGAATTTAGCCAGCCTACACCTGATCTTTGTATGCTTGGCTTTCAGGATGCAATTCACAATCATAATCACTGAACTAGGTGCTTCTGTTTCCTCTTTAGTGAGTAGGGAGAGTTGGGCAATGAAGAATGTGATTCATAACCCCACCTACTTCCTCACTTGTTCAGCCTTTTTTCCAAACTCTTGAAAAGTTTGAATTCACATAGATACAAGCCAAAACAACGTATTGGACTTATATCTAACTCTTTGTTTCCAATGAAGAAGATTGGCTCCTCCTTTAGAAATAGTAGTGAGCATGCTCAGCTTTTTATGTATAAGCCTAATGGGCCTGATGTCTACTTTATGCCTTCCTCAATTTGAAGGGATTCAGACACATTTCTTAATGCTTTTCAAGTGAGTAGCCTAAGCACTCAGCTCTAGGATGGGCTGGAATGGAAAGTACTATCAACTCTCCTAGTTGAAATTATGCCACTGTGTAGGCAAGAATGCAACACTCCTCAGACCAGAGAAAGCAGAAGTATGATTTGCTGAGAGGAATCCCAAGTTCTAGTTTCTGGTCCCAGCACTGTTTATGTATTTTATTCAAAAACACTGTAATGTGAAATGCCTAAGCAGTCCCTAGAACAGAGACCAGAAATCAGGAATCTTCTCTTCCAGGAAAAGTATCTTCCAGGTGTGTGTGGTTTTGTTTGTTTTTGTTTTTATCTGCTAAGACAAGGTTTTATGACATATGGATACACTTTCAAAAGCACTGAACTCCTGAGTGCTTTCTGTAGAAAAGTATAAGGAAGAGAGAAGCAGGGCAGAGAATATTCTAGATGGGGAACAGCCATCTTTAAACTCTGTTCTGCTTTTCTTTGGATTGTTAACCTTGGGGGGAAATAATTTAAAGTTCACATGATATTAAACTTTATGATGCTTTTTCTACTTCCTTCAGATTGGAGGATTCTCATTAAACAATTTAACAAACTTTAATCTTAAAGAAGTTGAGAATGATACTGTGGTTTGGGAGTATAACCCCACTGATGATTTTGATTCGCCAAAAGAAACGTCTCCTAAAAAGGGCAAGGTCTGACCTTTTAACTTACTTCTGCAGTAGTCTAGCAGTCATTGCTGTTCTTGGAAAAAGACCCATCTTCTATTTTTGTTTTGTCTCTGTATTGCAAAGCCATAAGATGAACTAAGAAATTGCATGGCTGCTTGATATAAGGCTTACTATGCTTATCTTTTGGTGCTGAGAAGCTAGCAGAAAATGGTGCTACTTCGAACTCTGAGACAGCAGTTTTAATCTGAACCAGAGGAGAAAATAGAGCTTACAGACTTGAAGCAATTTTATTTCAAAATTAGATTAAGTATATGAATAATATTAGTCTTGAACTATTCTTAAAAATTATTTTATAGCATTTTTTCAATAAACATACCACTATATAATTGCATATTATGACATTTAACGATGCAGTTTCATTTAATAGCTAATTGTATCTTTTTAAAGAGTAAAACTATCTGTTATTGTTATATCTTTTTGTTAAAACCTCTAAAATTATTCTTGTGTCAAATATTTCTAAATGTGCTATATGAATACATTGACAAATTATTTAATTTATTAAATTTACAAATATTAAGATGAAATGCATAAGACAAACAAAAAATATCTATTTTAAAAAACCATGCACTGTATCTTTTAATATTGAGATAATATTGATGGCATCTATTGCCTGTTGCTGTGTACCAAGTAGATATAAGATTAAAAAAAAACAACTATTTCATGGAGGTTAAATGTTTGCAGACTTGGCAGGATAAGCATCCAGAAAGTCTAAGTGATAAAATATCTGTTGTTTCATGCCTTCCTTGGATGTGTTTTCCTTCTGTAGACTTGAAGGAAGATTCAGTATATTTTGTGCACTCGTTCTACCTCAAAAGAGGCTATATCCATTCTCTTATTTTAAATTTGATGTGATATTTTCTTGAAGTATATTAAGTATGGAAAAACACTTATGCAAGCATCCAGAAAGTCTAAGTGATAAAATATCTGTTGTTTCATGCCTTCCTTGGATGTGTTTTCCTTCTGTAGACTTGAAGGAAGATTCAGTATATTTTGTGCACTCGTTCTACCTCAAAAGAGGCTATATCCATTCTCTTATTTTAAATTTGATGTGATATTTTCTTGAAGTATATTAAGTATGGAAAAACACTTATGCAATTATTATTAATCATTGATGTCATTCTTAAACCATTACTACAATCTTAGATTTTGAAGTTTTATAATCCTAGTTTATACTATCTCTAATTTTTTTCTTTTATTGCAATTTTTCTTATCTGGGTAAAGTATTAATCTTTCATGTTGAGACATGAGCATGGAATATGGAGACAACTATAAATTTTGTTATATTACGTTACAGATCAAGTACAGTGAAATCAAGTTACATGACATTATTAACAAGTGCATATTCTAGATT